AGAATTTTATGGGATAACTCAGGATCCAGAAACCAAAGATTTTATTATGATCGTACAATTTGCTCCTGAAGGAAATTTGAGGAGTTACCTTTCAAATAAATTTAAAACCTTGTTATGGAAAGATAAAATTAAAAATTTATACAGTTTAACTTGTGACCTTTATATTTTACATGATTTAGGATATTGTCATAAGGATTTTCATAGTGGAAATGTCTTGCAAGATATATCTTCTTCTTACATTTCAGATTTTGGATTATCAGGACCAGCAGATAAGCAAAAATCGGATGACCGAATATATGGTGTAATACCGTACATTGCTCCAGAAGTCTTGAATGGTGGATTATATACCAAATCTTCTGATATTTACAGTTTTGGTGTAATTATGGCTGAATTATCGACTGGAAATCCTCCATTTTATGATAGAAAACATGACATATCTTTAGCCTTGGATATTTGTAATGGGCTTCGTCCAGAATTTGGAAAAGGAACCCCTGAATTTTACAAGAAATTGGCTTATAGGTGTATGAATGCAAATCCATTTCAAAGACCAACTAACGATGAGTTGCATAACACATTGTATTTTTGGAGTAATTCACTTAATATATATGAGAAGTATAAAGATACTAAAGAATATGGACATATAAAAGAAATAAAGGAAGGGTTTGAAGAAGCTGATAAGGAAATACCAAATATATCAATTTTACGTAAAATAAATCCTGACGCTGTATATACGAGTAGAACATTTGCATATAAAAATTTGACAAAGTCAATTGATTCATCTTTTATTGCTTCATATCTTGAAAATGATGAGAATAATGAAGGTATTTTGTATTTTTTATTTTCGATAATTAAATATAAATTTAATTTTAAAGCATTTTTAATATTTCAAGATTCTCAATTACATGAATTAAAAATTTCTGACTCATCACACTTAAGAGGTAATTTATGATTGAATATAAACTAATATTATTTATATATATATAGTGGTAGACGTCAATAATTGAAGTTTATTAAAATGCTAAAAAGTCTATAGTTACATATCTATATTAATATTAAATGTTATTTTTAACCATTTTATGGGTCTGTACAATATTTGTACTTTTCGGATTCACCCTAATCCTTATTAAAGTTATATGTCATATTTATTTATAAACAAATAATACTTATTTTGTTATAATAAATTATTGATCAGCTTAATGGACAATGATTTAATATATAGAAAATAAAATCAAATACTTACCTGGTTCGACGCTACGTCCAATACTTAAAATCTGCCTAAAAATCATTATATTTATATTCTATTAAATCCAAAATCTTTTTTTAATACATTTATAAATATTCCTATTCTTTCGAGATAAGATATTGATTGTTAAGAATAATTTAATAACCTGCTAAGTGGATTTTTCTGATGCAGAAGATCAAGTTAATTTACAAATTTAGTTAAGTAATAAATTAATAGCTATTTGTAAGAAAATAAAATAAAATTTATATGGATATAATGGTCAGGAATAATTGTGAACCTAGGTAATCTGATCACGCATTGCAAGTATCGCCAACACTTTTTTCACCCTCATGTGACCCTATATAATTTGTCACCGTCGCACCCTCCTTGGTTTCCATTTTTACTATATGTTTCAGGAACAGAATTTTTTCAGTGTGAAAAATTCTAATTGTCACCTTATATCACACAGATAATTTCGGCCAAGTTATACCAAAAAATCATGTGGGTGAAAATGTGTTGGCGTACTCATATCCGCGCATCCTTGGAATTTGACCTCGTTACGTGTTTTTATAAATAATCATTTAGTTAAGTTCGTTCAGAAGATCAAATAACACTTAACACTTCAATTCAAATTCAAAAAAAAATAATAATATACCAACTTCAAACCCATCTAACTTTTAAAACAAAATTTACTGGTAAACTATGAATTTCACAAATGAAATATATGCAAAAAAACAAATTTTTTTCGATTAAAATAAAAATTGAATTAATAATGTTACACAAAATATTGATATTTATTCTTTTTGTTCCAAATTAAAAGGTTGTCAACTCGTCGAATTTATCATTAATATAAATTACACTAAATAAGACTTTTATAATTTTTCTCTTTACAAAGCAAATTTTATTTATAAATCCATTTTTTTATAATTATGACTACTGAATCACCTTTCAACACAAACATAAATACTCCAAATTGGGGTCTGTCAACAAAAAATTAAAGAGTAGTTTATATATTAAATGACGTTTAATTTCCTGACCATTAAAACTGTAAATTTAGAAAGATATCGTATATAATATCATTTGTTACTTTAAATTATTTCAATGTGTCGATGGGATAGGGCACAGAATGACTTTTCGTTTCGATATGTGAAAATCAGAAACCGAGAATTAGAAGAGTCGTGATTTGTGGAAGTGACGTTTTATAGTGCTTATTTCAAAAAAAGAAAAATCTATCGATAAAAATACAATGTACATTGCGATAATTAATCAGTAATAAAATAAAGCAATATCATATTATATTACAAAAGAAATAATATAATAGATCAATATTTTGCTATATTTATAAATCATAACCGGGATATTGTTTATAATCGGCCTGCTTTAATTTCATGTTCTTATTTAATTATTCAAAAAAAAAAAAAAATTTTTTTGGTGTGATGGGAAGTTAACTTACTGTTGGATCCAGTTCTTTCGTTTATGTATTTATGAAACAAAATTGTATTGTAAGTAGAAGGTTTTAATTGATAAAAATGAAGTAATTGTGACTTCAAATTTATTTTTAATAATATTAATTAATTAATTAATCAGTGTTGCCTCAATGTTGGCGCTCTACACTTTCGCAATGTCAATTTATTAAACTCAATAAATGCCAATCACTAATTAATTAAAACTGCGAAAATACAGAAATTTAAATATAAACCAAGAAAATTCGGGATTGTAAAAATAAACGAAATTACAAATTAAAATTTATGAAGTTCAAATTGCGAAAGCGAAAAAAATATCGCAAAGGAAGAAAGGAATATTTGAGGTGTATATGCAATATAAGAAGAGCGACCGTGGTATGTTTTAGTTGTTTTAGGATTTCCAAATTATATAAACAGTATATATAAAAAAACTAATTAGAACGGCCTGGCATCCTACCGTTCTGTCATTCTACCAGCCTGGTATCACTGGCATCCTGTCAGCCTGGTCAGAACTAACTATAATTACCAAAAACAATCTACAAGCGAAATAATGATGTTCTGGCATTATAATGGATGTAAAAATACTGATCGCATAAGACGAAAATTTGACTTGGTGGAACCGTTCGTCCTAAACCAGGAGTAACAATATGGTTATATATTGTTTCGATTATTATAGTTTCGACGGAATCGCTAAAATTTAAGGGATTCCTGTCGCGCCTACACCATTATAATTTAATGGAAATTTTTTTCTACAATACGTATATATATTTTAATAAATTTTCTTATGTGAAATATATATATTTTCATTACCTAAATAATATGCAAAGCTTTCAACAATAAAACATTCTTGAACCGCAAATAATGATTAAAAGAAAATATATACTTTTTGTATCAAAGATAATTATCCTCAAAACTTCGGGAATATTTAGCGAATAAATGATCTAGATCTATCATAAGAAACGAATTAGCGTCTTTTGATCCCTCACGTGAGTTATAGCCGAAACAATCTAATTGTTTTTCAATATTTATTTCATTTACAAATAATATTATATCATTTTTTGCTTTAATTTAAAGGCCGCATCTATTAAGTATGTGCTTTTGAGTAAATTTCACAAATTGAATAGTTTTGAAATATTTAAGAGTATAAAATATGAAATTCTTGAGAAAGATATATAATTTAAAATAAATAAAATCAAATGCGCATTTTTATTTTGCAAAAATGGGAGTTATAAAAGGCCCGAGAAATGCATGTTAAGAAATCTTTGCAATATTCTCAAAAACTAAAAAAAATTAGTTCATTGCGATACCACCAGTTTGAAAAGCCGTTTAATTAAAAGACATCTTTGGGGATTTTTTTTTTTTTTTTTTTTTTTAATGCAGCAAAATTGAGGAATTTATTTATATACGACTAGTTAATTATCGGCTTAAGTTAATTTAATAAAAGATTTAAATAATAGATTTTTAATAAAATAAAAAAAAGCTACAAGTTTATGGTTGCACATACTATTTTTATTGTAAATTTTAAAATAATGAAAATAAGTTAATAAATTTTACTTTTGGATTAGTTACTAAATAGTGTATAAACATTTCCGCATATTGCATATGCTTTATGCTTTGCATATGAATTTTTTTTTTTGTTTACTAAATTAATTCTTCGCAATAATCCAACGATTTTTGATTCTTAATTTTCAGGTTCAATCATTTCGAAAGTGGTATTTGATTTATTTTAATTCGCCTTTCCCTTCAATTTTTTTTTTTTTTAGTTGCGCTCTTTTCGGGTTTGTTTGCTTTAATTGTAAGGTATTTTTTTTTTCTTTTTATTCCTTTGCTTGTTATGGTTTTGGCCAAAACTTAAATGCTAGCAACTAATTAAAAATTTAATAAAATAATAATATTTTAAACCTAATAAAATATAATCATTTATATATTTATAAATAAATGTTGTCTTAAGACTCCTATCATTAAATTCTCGAAGAGTTTTTATGCAACCAATTAAATATAAAATCCAAAAATGCGAAATATAAATACGAATAATGTATCTGATGGCGCAGCTAAAGGACGCAAAAACAATTCTAACAATAAAATTTTTTAAAGAGAAGTAAAATTTTTATACTGTAAATCCAATTTAAGAAAATAAATTCACAAAATGTTCATTTATTCTAAATGACAATTTTATTAACAAAGTAAAAATAAAAATTTAAAAATAAATCTGTTTTCTTAAAATCTAATTTGAGATTCATAAAAAAAAAAAAAATACATATCGAAAATCTAAAGTTAATTCATACATAAAAGGGAATCAATCCCAATATTTAAACTTATTTGTCTAAGTCATAAAATTGAACGTAATAACCTGAAAAGTCTTCTTCATCATCTATTATTTCACTATCTTCATTTTCTTTAGAATCAAAATGATTTTTAGAATCAATACTATTAAGTTCTGAAATTACTTGATTAATATTTGGTCTTTCGTTTGGTTCATGCTTCCAACATCCTATATAAACAAGTAAATTAAAGATAATAGTAAACGATAGTAATAAAAATTACAAAAGTTAAAATGAATCTTACTTTGATAAAGTTTAACAAATCTATCATCTGTGGTTGAAATCGGCTTTTCTCTTAAGCCTTCAAGAATTTTAAACCGGACAGCAATATTACCAGTTGTTTCAAAATCGAACGGTGATTTACAACTTGTCAATTCCCAGAACAATACTCCTAAGCTATAAATATCAGATTTTTTGGTTAATTCAAATAAAGGATCTTCAAAAGTTTTGGGCTCCATATGTATTAGTTATTCCACGGGGATCAATGGATATCATTGATTTTCACGGCGCAGCCGTGAAAATATCAATGATA